TTTTTTTTTTTTTGCTTTTTCCTTTGGAAAATCACTGCAGGAGCTGAAAAAGTTGGCACTAGAAGTTTGTTATTTTTTAAAATTTTTATTGTGGTAAAATAATTTTTTTAACATTTTTATTGTGGAGAAATATATATAAGGAGTACCTGGGTGGCACAAGTCAGTAAGTGCTGGACTACTAGCTGAAAGATTGGCAGTTCAAACCCACCCAGAGGTGCCTCAGAAGACACACCTGGCTATCTGCTTCCAAAAGATCACAGCCATGAAAACGCTATAGAGCAGTCTCCTTTGCACACAGAGGATCACCGTGATACTCAATATAGATTACAAATAAAACTCTGTAATCTAAATGGGGCTGCCTTTTTCCCTCCTTTGTATAAAATTCTCAAGAATGGCCCAGATTATAGCCCACCATGGAAATCGGCTTAATCCTGTATCACAACTCACCAGGACCCTGGAAGCCCACATGGACACATTCAATTTCAGAGCCAAAAAAAAAAAAAAGGTAGGCACCTGTGACCATGGTGGGGATGGTAGTTCTGGGGACTCAACAGCTGATTTTTCAGAAGCAGATAGCCAGGGCTTTCTTCCAAGGCGCCTCTGGGTGGACTCGAATCTTCAACCTCCAACTTTTCAGCCAAGGATGTTAACCATTTGCACCACACCGGGAGTCCTCGTATTAGTAAGAAAGAATGAAAGAGAAGAAGACAGGGAGGAAGGAAATGTTTTTCTGTGTTTCCTTCTCTGCTCTGTTCCCTGTTCTGTTCTAGAGGGTACAGGTCAACCAGGAGGACAGCTGGCACATAGGCCCTTGTTTGGAAGTCTCCGGTGGCCCCTTCGGACCCACCCTGCCCCTTCTAGAAGAGAGAGAGATCAGGGCATGATTCACTGTGTTTCCTTACTGTCTTCAGCTCCTGTCACTACCCTGCCACTTCATATGTCTGGTGAATGAATGACTTCATTCATTCAAAAACAGCAAAAACCTGACAACTACTGTGTCTGTCTCCAGCCCTTTCCTCTGAGCCCCAAACCCAGTGAAAACCTTGTGGAGCACAGTTCTACTTTGACACATATGGGGTCACCATGAGTCAGAATTGACTTGATGGCCACTGGTATGGGCTTAAGAAGGGGAGTGGGAACAGTTCTCCACCCACGTAGAATGGCAGAAGGAAAATTGAGTCCACTAAAGATAGACCTAGAACCCCACAGAGTTCCCGTTGAGCCCTGAAGTGTGCAAGCCTGATGCTGAGTCCCCAGAACTACGATCCCCACCATGGTCATGGGACCTACCATTTTGGGGGGCTCTGAAATTGAATGTCCAGTGGTTTCCTGGACACCTCACCTCAGATGATGTCTCCAGACCCTTCACGTTCCCCTCATCCCATAATGAGCCCAGATCTTCCCCCTCTCACTTTTCTAGGTCTAAGGGACCCACTGCTATCCCCCAGCACTGCACCACCCCCTTGTGCTTGCTGTAATGGCTGCCCACACTTGGCCAGTGGTCCCTTTATGAAACTCTTCCATCACCCAGATTGAGAGATCATCTGCTACCTGCCTGATGCGGTCCCTCAGAGTGAATTAAAAGGGGGCACCCTGAGCAAAAAGTAGAACGGAATTCAAATACTTATAAAGTCCAGACTTACTGGACTAGTGGAGACAGGAGGACTCCCCTGGGGACTATTGCCCTGAGATTCTCTTTAAACCTTGAACCAAAATTATACCATGAGATCATCTTTCAGCTAAATAACAGATTGGCTCACAAAATAAACAATGTCACCCATGAGTACTGTGCTCCTTTAAAAAAAAAAAAAACATCTATAGGAGACCAAACCATTAATACTTACCCTAAAGCAAAGACGAGAAGGCAAGGGGGTAGGGAAACTAGATTACTGGAAACAGAACAACCAGAACGGAAATAATGAGAAAGTTGACACACCGTCTACCATGTCACCAATGGCAATGAACAAATTGTGTAGAAATTAAGTGGGAACGTAATTTGCTTTGTAAACTTTCACCAAAAACACAATACAATATTATTTAAACAAATGAATAAAAGGGGGCACCCCTTCCTCCAGCCAATTTGCCCATGTGTGCACATTTGCTGTATACAGTGGAGCAGGCTGGGTTCCAGTCAATCGCAGAGCCCAACAAAATGGTAGGGGCCTATGACCACATGCAGATTGAGGGTGCACGAAATGTGTGCATGTGGGCTTCCGGGTTCCTGGAAGCTAATTTCCAACATCCAGCCTGCTCCACTGCAAAAGTTTTGGACTGCGAAGTTTGGGACTTCCTTTTTGCCTACTGTTTAGTTTAACTTAGCTGCATTTTGGGGACTTGCAAGTAGAGATCCTTAACTGGGGTTTTCGGTTCTGTGTGAGGGGAGCCTGAGAGTGGATTTCAGAATGTGAGAATGTACAATAAAGGTCAAGTTCTCACGAGTGTCTGCAGGTCCTGAACACTGCACTCACCCTACTTACCTCTCTCATCTGCTTTCTTCCCTTGGCTAGCCTCCTGCTTGTTCTGCAAACCCACCACCTCCATCCCCACCTCAGGGCCTTTGAACGCACTGTCCGCTCTGTCTGGAATGCCCTTCTCCCAGATATTCTCACAGCTTCCTCCTATCATTTGAACTCTGCTTAAATATCACCTCCTCAGAAAGGACATCCCTAACTTCCCCCTCCACTCTCCATTCCCTTAAAAAAACCAAACCCAAACCTATCGCTGGGGTGGGGGGGTCTATTCTGATTCATGGCAGACTTATGTGCTTCAAAGTAGAACTTCACTCCCACAGATTTTTCTTAGCTGTAATGGCACGGAATCAGATCGCCAGGCCTTTCTTTCGTGGCACTGCTGGGTGGATTCGAACTGCCAAGCTTTTGGTTAGTAGCCAAGCACAATCTATTCGTGCACCCAGGGACCTTCTTCATCCCCTTAGCCTGCCTTATTTTCCTTCATGGCGTTTACCACCTACTTGACATTGTATTGTATTATTTATTTATTTATTCATAGTCCCTGGGTGGCACAAACAGTTAACATGCTCATCTGCTAACCAAAAGGCTGGAGATTTGAGTCCACCCAGAAGTACCTTGGAGGAAAGGCCTGGTGATCTACTTCTGAACGATCACAGCCACTGAAAACCCTACGGAGCAGAGCTCTACTCTGACACACTCATGGAGTCACCATAAGTCCGACTCAAGAGCAACTGGTTATCATTCATTCATTCTTCATTTTATTGTCTGTCCACTCCCTCCCCTAGAACAGTGTCTGGCACATAATAGGTGCTCAATAAATATTTGTGTACATATGGGCATTTCCTTGGGGTGAGGACCATAATTTTCATCACCTCCCCAGTGGGGCCTGGGATACCCCAACGTTTTACAACTATTCTAAGTTTGGTCCTGGAAGATGCGTGGTCATGCAGGGCAGGAAGGCAGCCGGGGACAGAGCCTGAGGAAGGACTGAAGGGCGAATCTGGGGTCCAGGCAGGCGGTGGGAGGAAACTGGAGACCTGTTCACAGGTGACCTGTGTCAGAGGATTATGGGGGCAGGTGGTGAAGGAACCCAGGACCCATCCCTGCCCACCCCATCTCCCTACATGTGGGGAAAATGCAGTGCCCCCGCCGCTCTCCCAGCTTGTCCACCTGGCAAGAAGACAGACACAGCAGACTAGGTGATTGCAAAGACAAGAAACACTCTTTAATGACCAGAGCCCAAGCCGGAGCCCCAGGCCTGAGCCAAAACCCAAGAACTTAAAATGCCATCAGGGTCCTATTTTGCCCCTAAAACAAAAACTGAGGCAATTGCCATTCCCATCTGGGCACTGGAACCTCTTTGCTGCTGGAGCTTCTTTGGCATAACTATTGAAGGATAAAAAATTGAGAAAAAAATGACCTTTAACCAACTATCATGATTTGAGGGGTGGGTGCGAGGTAGCAGAGAGACGCGTCTCTCTCTGGGAGAAAAGACCCATTGGTGATTTGAGGTTGGGGAGACGAACAGAGAGAAATAGGCCCAACAATGGGAGAACAACCAGAGGGAAGAGAAAGACGTTGGCTCCCCATCCCGGGATAAACCTGCCATGACACTGTGCCCCAATGACATGGTGTCCCTCCAGCGTCTCCCCTTTCCCTCTCCCAGCTCCTGGCACGTGAGCTGTGGAAGGCGGGGAAGGACGATCCAGCGTGGTCCCCGAGGAAGTGGTGGGTCTTCAGATGGGTGAAGAAGGTGGAGAAGACGGGTCTTAAGTGGGGCCCCCATTTTGAAGGCTTTGGGGTGGAGGGTCCGAGCCAGCCTCGGTCACTGTCCCCAAATTCTGAGGGCTGCCCTGGGCAAGCACAGTGGGGTCCGCAGGTCCAAGGATCCAAGAAGTCCACAAGGAATGGAGCCCTGAGACTGAGACATCGAAGGCGCAGGATGCCCATGAACTTGGAAGATCATGGACTTCGACCCAGAAGGAGATGAAGGACTGTGAGGTCCAAGGGTGCAGGGCTGGCGTGGCTCCCCCGCAGGCCCCTACAATTCGGTATCCAGCAGGGATGAGTTCTGGGGACCAGACACTTCAAAGGGCAGGGGATCCAGGGAGGGTCTAAGGGGCGCGGGTCATTGGTAGCTCATGGTCCTCAGCGCTTGACCTTGCGGCCGGCAGAGTTGCGCCCGCTTCGGCGGTAGAGGGACTGCTGGCCGCCATTGAGCGGGCAGTACTTGAGCGTGTGCGCCTGGCCCCCAGTGGCCCCGCACAGTGGACACACGTAGTGCCTCAGGATGGGACACACCACCACGCCCTCCGGTGTCTTCAGCTGGTGTGAAGAGTAGACGTGGCGGGACTCACCGTTGTGCTTGCAGAAATTGCACAGGTTGGCCAGGCCCCCGCTGGCCCCCGGCCCTCCCGGCCCCTCATTCCGTCTCAGTGGTGGCCCAGGTCTTGCCTCTCCAACCCCTTGGGCCTCTGGCCTTTGCCTCCGACTCTGGATCAGCGCCAGTACCACCTGGCTCAGGTTGAAGTAGTCTTTCCACATGTCAAAGAGGGGCGGCTGCATGGCGCTGAGGCGGGGTTGGCTGGTGGCTGGAGGGGGGCTGGGGCTGGGGAGGAGCAGCAGAAGCTGTGCAGAGTAGAGAGGAGCTGCACCCCCCCCCTTTATACTCCCCAGAGCCCCTTCTAAGCAAAGGTGGAGCTTAGGATTTAAAGGGCCCACTCCCTACCTGTGACCCCTGTCTGACTCTAGACCCCAAGGAGAGCCTGCAGGAGGACAGTGTCCTGGTCTCCGGTCCCTGCGCTGCCTCTGAGGTGGTCTGTAACCTCCAGGAAGGACCTTCCCCTCCCTGGGCCTCAGTTTCCCTATGCATTCAATGATGCTGCATGTCTGCTAATGCCCCCCACCTCCTACCCTACCCTCCTCCAGGCTAGAGGGCCAGCTGCCCCCTCCATATACTCCAGAGCTATTCCTAATAGTGATGTTGTTGTTGTTGAGTGCCATCAAGTTGATTCCAACTCATAACAACTCCATGTAACAGAGTAGAGCTGCCCCCACAGGGTTTTCCAGGCTATAATCTTTATGGGAGCAGATCACCAGGTCTTTCTCCCACGGAGCTGTTGGGTGGGTTCAAACCGCCAACTTTTCGGTTAGCAGCCGAGCGGTTAACTGTTGCACCACTAGGGTCGAGTGATGTGCTGTACAGTTACCTGGGTGATCTGATTTAATCCTTGCAACGACTCCACGAGACCAACAACATTATGATCCCATTTTAAAGAAGAGTAACTGAGGCTCAGAGAGGGAAACTCATTGAGCCAAGGTCACACAGCACGCAAATGGCAGAGCCAGGATTCCAACCGAGGTCTGCAGGACTCTAAAGCAAGTGTTCTTCCTACCTCTTTTGTTTTGCATTCCTTTGTTTTTATTGTGCATTCTGTGAACGTTTACAGAGCAGAGTAGATTCCCACTCGATAGTTTGTACATAAAGTGTTTCATGGCCTTGGCTTCATTCCCCACAATGTGTCAGCATTCTCCCCATTTCCGCTCTGGGTTCTCCATTTCCTTTCGTCCTGATTTGTCTACCCCTTCCTGTCTTCTCATCTTTGCTTTTGGGCAAATGTTGCCCTTTTGCTCTCGTATGATTGATTGTTCTAAGGAGCATGTTGCTCTCGGGCATTATTGTTTATTTTACAGGCTTGTCTATTCTTTAGCTGGAAGGTGGTCTCTGGGCATGGCCCTCCTACCTCTTTTGGATTAAAACCTTTTCTTTCTTCACATTCTGAAATGTTGTGTTTGTTGCTGTAAGCGGCCATCAAGTCAGCCCCTCACTCATGGTGACCCCATGCGTTACAAACTAGAGCTGCCCCACAGGGTTTTCATGGGAAGCAGATCGCCAGCCCTTTCACAGAGCCGCTGGGTGGGCTCAAACCTCTATCCTTTGGGTTAGCAGCCTATCGCAAACCGCTGGGCCACCCAGGCTCCTTATATCCTGAACAAAATTCAAATTCACAGAAAAAGAAACCAGACTTACTGGTCTGACAGAGACTGGAAGAACCCCCAAGACTACGGCCCTCAGACACCCTTTTAACTCTGAACTGAAGCCACTCCCGAAGTTCACCCTTCAGCCAAAGATTAAAAAGAAGCCGTTGCCATTGAGCTGATTCTGATTCATAGCGACCCTCTAGGACAGAGTAGAGCTGCCCCATATGGTTTCCAAGGAGCAGCTGGTGGATTTGAACTGCCAACCTTTTGGTTAGCAGCCGAGCTCTTCACCACTGAGCGCCAGACCTCCCAGGTCTATAAAACAAATAATAACACGTGAGGAACGTGCTTCTTAGTTCAAGCAAGTGTAGAGACCAAAAGGGCAACACCTGCCCAAAAGCAGTGATAAAAAGGCAGGAAGGGACAGGAATAATGGACAGACAAAAACAGGAAATTGGGGTGTGGAAGAGGAGAGTGTTGACACATGGCGAGGATTTCAACCAATGTCACAAAACAATTTGTGTATAAATTGTTGAATGAGAAACTAATTTGCTTTGTAAAGTTTCACCTAAATCACAAAAGAAACCAAAAAGAATCAGAATTAACAATGACAATTACAATGTTAGTCCAACGGTTAGAGTCCCAGTCTTTAGACTTCGGGCTTTTACTTTTTACGAGAGGTTTCTTGCAAGGAAGGCTTGACCATGGCTCAAACTCAGTGGTGCTTCCTCATAGCTAGGGTCCAAGGATAACAGAGGCAGGCAGAGTCTCACTCTTGGTCTCTGGCAGGGTCTCCTTTTCGGAGAGTATCAGAGTCTAGAGAGAGGTCTCTTGCCTCTGCTTTTCTCTCAAAAGAATTGGCTTAAACCTACTGTGTATATACAATTTTCTAGCCTTGGTCTCATATTATAGGGGCTAGGTAATGTCATGTTTAGTGTGTTACATGTTTTCTTCAAGGTCAGACATTCACCTAATGTTGACTCTTTAGAGATTAAGGAGTTATTTACGACATTCCTAACGCCTGAAGATCACCTTTATGTTACATTTATTATATCAGGTGTTTAAGCCAACTGAAAAACCCAAACCTGTTGCCACTATGTTGATTCTGACTCATAGCAACCCTCTAGGACAGAGTAGAACTGCCCCCAAAGGGTTTCCAAGGCTGTGAGCTTTACAAAAGGAGACCTCCACATCTTTCTTCTGCAGAGCAGCTGATGGGTCCTAACCGCCATGCTTTTGGTTAGCAGCCAAGCACTTTTAACCACTGTGCCACCAGGGCTCCTTAAGCCAATTTAGGGAGGTTTTTCTCATTCCATGTATGCAACAAGCCAATTTAGGGAGGTTTTTATGCAACAAGCCAACTTGGGAGGTGTCTTAGTTTTCTAGTGCTGCTGTAACAGAGATACCCCAAGTGGGTGGCTTTAACAAACAGAAATTTATCTTCTCACAATTTAGGGGGCTGGAAGTCCCAATTCAGGGTGCCAGCTCTAGGGGAAGGCTTTCTCCCTTTGTCAGCTCTGGGGGCAGGTCCTTCTCTCTTCAGCTTCTGTTTCCTGGTTCCTTGGAGATCTCCGTGTGGCTTGGCATCTATCTTCCCCCATCTCTACTTGCTCCTTTTATATCTTGAAAGAGATTGACTTAAGACACACCCTACGCTAATCCTGCCTCATTAACATAACAGAAAACTCACTCCCAAATGTGATTATAACCAAAGGCATAAAAACCAAACCAAAAAGCCGTTGCCTGCGAGCAGATTCCGGTTCCAGTTCATAGAGGTTAGGATTTACAACACATATTTTTTGGGGACACAATGCAGTCCATAACACCACCCCCACTTGACCAGTCTCTGGCCAAAGTGCGTCATCCCAACCCACCCCAGGCTGTGTGACGTACTCAGTCTAGTGCTCCCCCATGTTTGAGACTTGGGGTTCAGGTTAGACTCATGGATCCTCCCTCACCACCTGGGCTGGTTAAGTACCCCCCTCCCATGTGATCCTGTAGTTTCTTCCCCCTCGGACCATCAATTGTTGTTAATTGCCATCGAGTTGGCTCTGAGTGATGACCACCTCGTGTCCAACAGAATGAAGCGTTGTTGAGTCCTGCACCATCTTCATGATCATTGGTACGCTTGAGTCTGTTATTGCAGTCACTGTGTATTTTGAGTGCTTTCCAATCTAGGGGGCTCATCTTCCAGCTCTTTATCAGGATAGCACTCTGTTGTGATCCATGGGGTTTGCACTGGCTAATTTTTGGAAGCAGATCACCAAGCCTTTCTTCCACTTCTGTCTTAGTGCAGAAGTTCCCTTGAAACTTGTCCACCATAGGTGACCATGCTGGTATTTGGAATACCAGGGGCAGAGCTGCCAGCATCACAGCAACATGCAAGCCACCACAGTGTGACAAAGTCACGGACGGGTGGTGGCTGACCATCAAACCCCTCGGCTTATCATTGTGATTATTCCCTTGTCACCGACCCCATTTAGATGGAGTGTTATGTGAGGACAAGGACCTTAATGGGTAAATCTCTCTATCCCTGTGCCCAGGCCCATTGTAGTGCAGATAACAATAACGAGAGCCCCACTGATGGAGAGTTCTAGGTGTCAGAGCCTCCGTGCTAAGCACTCCATACACAGTTTTCTCATTTAATCCTCACCATAAACCTTGTGAGATGTGTATGGTTAGACTCATTTTTAGGATGTTGAAAAATGACATAAAGAGAGGTGAGGATTTCGAGGTTCCAAGACCTCCCTTAACAATCCCACCTGTTGTTCCGAGACTCCCAGATTCTGTTGCTTGTGAGTCTGGTTTTTTTTTCCCCCTTGTTATTTATTTTTCCTCAATTGTTTTCTTCTAAACCAAACTCACTGCCATCAAGTCGATTCCAACTCATAGTGACCTTATAGGACAGGGTAGAACTGCCCCCACAGGGTTTCCAAGGCTGTAATCTTTATGGAAGCAGACTGCCACATCTTTCTCCTACAGAGTGGCCAAGTGCTTTGACCACTGCACCACCAGGCTCCTTTGTTTTCTTCTAGAATTCTGTTATTCCAAGCATGGATACCCTTCCCCCCTGAAGTTTTATTCAGCAAGTCAATTGAAGGACTTCTCTCCTTAGGTAACCCCTCTTCAGAGATGTGGTTGCTACTGCGTATTTACAGAAGGGCCAAGATGATACTAATGAGAAATTCATCAGCTGTGGTGTTTACTGGATCATAATGGTCACCCCCACCCCACACCAAGGCCAGGACCACTGTCTGCTGACCAGACTCCACAAGGGCCCTGTTTACTTGTGAATTTCCCTCCCAGCCTGATGCCTGACAGAAAACAGCTCATGGCGTCTGGGATCTTAAAATCTTGCAAGTGGCCACATAAAATACAACTATTGGTCTCTTCCCATCTGAAGCAGCAAAGGAGAGCGAAGAAAGCCAAACATTCAAAGGAGCAATTATCCAAAGGAAGAACGGATCACATGAACCACACCCTATATAACCCCAAGACCAGAAGAATTAGATGGTACCCAACTACCACTCTGACTGGGATCAGAATAGAGGGTCCTGGAGACAGAGGGGGAGAAAAATGTAGAA